AAATGACACAACGGACCTACTCCAACTTCCGAAATACATTCCGACCCCTATATCAAAATCTCACTTATCAATCGGAAAACGCCAAAATTCCAATTTCGCCAATTCAAGCCTAAATCTACTCCGGACCTTCAAAACACATTCCAATCACGCTCCTTAGTCTTAAATCACCTAACGGAGCTAACCAAATCATAAAAATCAAAATCTGAGATTGAATACTAAAAGTCAAAAACTTGGTCAAACCTTCCAAATTTAAAGCTTCAAACTGAGAACTGTTCTTCCAAAACCATTCCGATTACCCTGAAAACCGAGACCGACGATTTACATACGTCATAATACATCACACGGGGCTAGTCATGCCCGAGAACTGGTGAGCAAAATGCAAAAGCTCAAAACGACCGGTCGGGTCGTTACAACTTCCGCATTTGTTTTTACTGGTTTTAGCTTGTTTATTTTTAATCACTGAAACGTAAAGGATTTGGCTAGTTAAACCTCTAACGTTGGCTTTCCTAGCAAGTGTGATGTTAGGCGCCATCACGGTCACGATGGTGGGGATTCCCAGTCGTGACAACTCTTTTTTCTTTAATTTAGTTGTTGTAAAATGTAAACTTTAATTTGCAAGTTTGAATTAAAAAAAGAACTTGCAAATTATAAGTTCAATTTTTTTCCATCTACATTATATTCTATTATCTTAAATTCTTAATGAATATTCAAATATAAGGATTTTAATGCCTTTGAAATTTATTCAAACACTCTTTTTATAAGGTTGTTTTTATGTTTTACACTTTTACTTTATCTTAATATAAATTACGGTAGTTATACAAAATACACACACAAAAAAAAAAGAATCGGCCCGGCCCGACCCCTTATGCCGGAACCGTTTCGGTTCAATAATTCCCCAGAGGGGCTAGGAACCGGTAAAATCGGTAATCGGCCCGGTCCGGAGACCAGCCGGTCTCATATTCCAATGGCCCGGCTCCTTGACACCCTTATATTAGAGTCATCGTTATATTTACAAATAAAATCAATATAAGAGTTGTTAGTTCTTTATCTTTATATTTTGGAAAGGATTAAGATCAGATATTATACATTAATAATTATGGAAACTATTTAAAGTTTTAGAATAATAAGATTAATAAATATAACATAAGAGTCGGAGAGCATTACCAAACGACCACACATGATTAACAAAGGGTCGTGATATTGCCCAACCGGATATCACAACGTGAATCTCGGCCTGTATCGACAGAAAATCAGTGACTCGCGAAAAGAAAATTTTTTACCTTTCTTAGAATTGTTCCTAGGGTAAAACTCCCCTACTATATAAAAGGGAAGAGAATGATTCATTAGACATACTGTAACACGCATACCAAAGCAATATACTTATGTTCTCTTTGTTTCTAAAAGTTATTCAAAGTTCTTGTTTTCATTCATAAGTGCTATTTCGGAACCTAAGGCAGGTTACTTGTTAAGCCTCCGACCGTGCTCGGACTCACTATCATCAGTGGTTTGCTATTTACTATATCTTTTATTTGCTTATCCAGCGTCATTAGTCACTTGTATTGAATTATTCTACATATTCTTAAAATCCTAATAAATTCAGTTGTTATCCACTTTTAAGGATAAAAATACTTAAAAGTAGTTTAAAGAAAAAAAAGAAGACAAAATCTCAAATTTTTACAACAATACTGCATATCGTTATTTGTGGGCTTGCGGTGTTTACGATTTTAGGTGAGTCCTCCAGTTAGATTTATCTGGCAGGCTTAGTTGGCTATTAGCCAGTCAATATTATGACAACATTGTGCCTCAAAAATTCCAAAAAGAAAAAAATGTCTTAATTTGTTGTATTTAAAAATTATGACGATTATAAATGATTAGTGATAACTGATAATATTAACAATTGCTATTCTCATCATATATATAATTATCAGTGTCCTTACCTAAAAAGGAATCACATATTAATATAACAATACACATAACCACTCACTAATCTTGAATTATTACACCGACCATCTCAATATATATTTATTGTGATGTAAGAGAACAAATATAAAAATGAAGCACAATAATCTACAATATATTAAAAACAGGAAGCTCTTAAGTTAAAAGTCAAATTATAAAATTACCCTATCTTATTAAATATTTTTTTTTTAAATCCTAAAAATAAACTGCTACACGCGACTGTCTGAAGCGTCCCCTATTGCGCTTGAACTTCACTCTAAATCTTCCCAACAGTTGCACCATTTAATTTCTCTCTCTTTAAAAATCAGAACCCCCATGGCAAGTTTCCATCAATATTGCACTTCTCTGTTAAATTTTTCCAACAGGTTTGAGAAAGACCCACAGTGTCACACATGCATCTCCTAATGAGCAACTATCGGTTAATTGTTTTTTATTTTATTATATTATTTGTCTTTTTTTTTTTGGATATTTGATGGTACAAGTTATTAGGGAATTGCATAATGAGTTAGAAATTTGGTCATCCAGACCAAACAGACATTAAGGTAAGTTATTTATTTTTAATTATTTTTCATCGGACGTTTCTTCTTCTGGTAAAAGATAATTAAAAAAGGAAGGAATTTAGCGTCGGGTGGTTAAAGGTCTATCTATATCCCTTCAAGTAATTTGTTATTTTCATTTCTTAGCATGCTCTTTTCTAACAAGTTCTGTGTAATAATTTATGTGTTTGGCTACTTAATGATACTAATTCGGTTGATAATTTTCATTGATTTGGAATAATCATGGACAATTTTATTGAGATGATTGTTATTAAACTTGTGCCTCGAGTATTTACTCATTAATTTACTTTCTTCACTTATAGTCATAATGAAGTGATTTGATGATTTGCTTGCGTTTTATAATTAAAATGCACCTTGGTCTCTTATAGACCTATACTGCTGATCGATTTTATTGTGGTTTGGTTGCCGAACAATCTAAATCTGAAGGTTACAAAGTAGAGGTTTGGTTATGACATTAGTTTCTACAATTATTTTGTTTTCATGGTTTTTGTTGTTATAATATTGTTATTACTTGTACTATGATGATAATTATTGCAATGGACATTTAATAATTCAAATTAGGGTAAATACTGACAAAGTTAAGGAGGTTTTACTTGACAATGGAGTAGTTTGGCCTAAGTTAATCGCCTTTTTGCAAAGTCTTGAGTTTGTTTCGAACAAACATTTAAGATTTGACCAGTTTCTCAACTGGGATCCAAACAATCGTATCAAAGTTAGAATCATATCTGCCAGAGCCTATGGCCTCTTATTCGTGCACAATGGTAAGCCCTTGACCAGGATTTTTTTTAATTGCCCATTTTTTATATTCTCCATTGTTACGATTAGTCTGTCACCGGCTGATAAATCGTAATTGTATACCCTTTACTTTGACAAATATCAATTTCTGGATTTTACAACCGATACTCTTGTATAGGTAAATTAACAGAATTGCCAAAGATGTAAAACATGTTCGCCAATAAATGTTATAACCAAGTGGATGACCGGTGTGTTCGACCCACTCATGAAGAGCTGGAGAATTTACAATAAGAGTCTCGGTCATGATAGATCAACCAAAACAAATGGAAGGAACATACACGAGGAATATCGTCAATGAGGAAGTATAATAGGTGAGATATACCATATGTTTGTACCTTACTAAATCAAATTAACTAAAAAGAATCACATTGATATCTAACTAAACTTTGATTATTCATCTTCATAGATTTAAAGGGCATCCAATCATCTTGACCCCGACAAACAAGTCACAATATGATGATCTACGTTGAATGTTCGCATAAACAAATACTTTATTCATTCACGTAAATTTTGTTTGAAATTTTATATTTTTAATGTCGATACAATTTATAAAATCTGTATTACATAACTTGACATACACGTACAACGCACGTGTCGAAAAACTAGTATATCAGAAAAATGTATCAATAGAAAAGTTTCTTAAATAACTTGATATGATGATTAGTGAAGACGGCAAACTAAGGACATCACTATCATTTTTTATTTTTATTTTTTTGGGGGGGGTAGGG